CACACACACACACACACACACACACACACACACACACACACACACACACACAGTGAGCTTATTAAAATAGGACCAAAGCACAGGCAGATTATCACAGCTTATTAATACATATGCAACATTCATCTTCAGCTCCCCAGCAGTATGAAGCACAGTGACATGTTCAGAATACCGTTACCATGATTTAATCACTCGTGCCTGTTTCTCTGATGCTTGGCTTGTGTTCAGACTCGGTGTGTACAGCAGACGCACTCATGCGACTGTGAGGGAACACTGACAGTCTCAGGTTGCTGAGCTCAGACTGGCTGTGGTCATGTGGGAGGACACAGCAGTACACAGACACTGTGTTTTCATCCTTTTGTCTCCGCCTGTGTTTGCAGAGGGTTGCACACGGAGACACCGTGCAGGCAGTGCAGAGAGGCTGTGGCACACCTGTGCCGCTCATTCTCAGGAAGAGGAAGGTGATGATGCAATGAAGGGAGACAGTCTCAGAGTCAGTCTCTCTGGAGCATATTGTACCCCCTGCCCCTCTTCATATGCATCACACTGTCCGGTCAAACTAAATGTTTGAGTCCTGAAAGCATCATTGCAAAGTTACACTTAACAGCAGAAGGACAGAGAAAGAACCTTTTGCTGCTTTAAATTAAAAGTGGATTTTGATTAATGACACTTTTAACTTTCAGGCCTCACAAAGTCAAAAGAGCTTGTAGCCTCCTAAGTGCCCTGGCAGCAGGTGTGGGGATGTTTTGCACTCTTGCACATGTTTGTTTCACCATTTTCCGACACGTGTTTTTTGCAGGAATCTGGGCACTAAGACTGTGGATGCACGACTCACACAGGTGGATGTGGTGAGGTGTGGAACTTCTCAGACTCCACCTTGCACTGAGTTTTTTGTTGGGATCTCAGAGCTTTAAGCGTGTGTTGGTCATCCATGCGTCATCTCCCAGCTTTTGGCCCGACAACTAGAACTGGAAGTCAGAGTAATTATTACTGTATCAGTATAAAAGCACAGCATAGTGTTTCCCCCACAAAGACTTTAATGGTTTACTAACAACCCCACGAATACACGGGGTACTTTATTTTAGTATTTTTTATTTGCATTTTTAAAGTATCGTTGTTCACTGCCTTGAACTGCAGCTGTCCATGGTAGTCTTTCTTCTTCTCTGTGAGATGTAGAGTCAGAAAATGCCGCAGGTGGAGAAGTGAGCTGCTAAGCTGAGCAGAACCAGGACTGCCAGCTGCAGTCGAAGGCAGTGGAGCCAAGGTTCAGGGCTTGAGACAAACGCACAGGTAGCTGCTTATAATGCTCCTTTCTAAAAGGACTTGGTGATTAAACCATTTGCAGGTGACCTGAGCACCTTCTAAGTGGTAAAAATTTGCATACACATGATTCCATTGATGTCATGACGGCCACCAGCTGAGTGCAGGGAACTCTGTGATGCAGAAAACCATAAAGCAGAAACCCAAACCATGGCTGCTAGAAGTGATGGATTTTGTAAGTGATGCTGTTAATGTTTTATGATGAGCTACTTGAAGTGCTCAAAGTGTTCCTGTCTTTTAACCTGAACAGCAACTTTTCAGACTTCATGTAAATTTTGGGGCTCGTTATTAGAGCTGAATGACAATGAAGTCACTGAACAGCTGTTTTTATTGGATTACATTACACAACAGCTGGTTGGTAAAAACAGGTGAACTCTGCAACATTTCTATCACTCTGCAGTCATAGACGCATGGACACCTTAGTTAAGACTAGGTTTAAGTTGGGCTGGTCTTAACAAATATCAAGTTTTAGTTAGGACCAGTCTTGCAGGAACCAGACCCATATCATGGAGTACTTTTATGCTTCATACTGGGACTCTTAGTCCAAAGCTGAAGTCACTGGACAAGTCCTCCATCGTCCCCCTCTGTCCTCAGTGAGAGTTTGCTACCTTCTTACATAGATTAGTAATATTACAAGTAAAATATCCCAATCGTTGTTGTGCACACACAGTCTCGTGCAGCCTTAATGTTCAAAAATGTGTCCCACCTTAAATGATTTTGCAATTTTAAAAGTATATAATGCATCTTCATTCTCCTCAAAGCCGATTTGTCATCTTCGTCGTTATCTTCGTACTTCGTAGGAACAGGAACAGCGTCGACGTCTTTTAAAAAAAATCACAGTGTCAGAGCTCTGCCTTGAATCTAATTCACAGAGGATGCTATTCAACTCAGTGACCCCACATTTAATTTAATTATGTTGCTAATTAAACACAATGAATTATGCTCTCATCTGAACATTAAGTCACGACTTCATTACCCAAGAAAGTCAGGATGAAACACATTCCCCAGTTAGGAGTGCTTCCCAAGTTCTGGCCTCTCCCTTGCTCTCTGCATTTTTAGTCTCCTTGTTTCCCTGAAGGCATCACTGATAACTCTCAGTGTGGCAACATTTATTTCACTTTGTCTGCTCTTCATCTCTCCTCCTGCAGCTATTAAAGCGCTCCTATTTTTCTCTCCCACTCAGTGCTCTTGTTGTTCTCCTTCCACTGTACCTTTATTTGCTTTCTTTCCATTGCATCAGTCCTGTTTTATTTTCCTGTCAGGGTAAAGTTCTTTCTATCTTTCATGTCATTAAAGATAAAAATCTCTGCATTTCCAAGTATTCCATCTCAGCAGTGGAACTTGAAGATGATGAGGACGATCCTCTTGTACTCCTTCCTGAAGTTATGGTTCAGGACACCGTAGACGACGGCATTGAGGCAGCTGTTAAAATACGCCATGAAGTAGCTGGCTGTGAACAGCCACTCTGGGATGGCACGGCCCAGCGTGGAGTCCACTGCCACCGCCAGGCCAATCAGGTTCAGCGGCGCCCAGCAAACAGCGAAGAGCACGAACACCACAAACATAGTGAGGAAGTTGCGGAGGTCGTGTGGCTTGATTTTAGGTCTCGAGTCTGGCTTGACCCGCCGCCTCACCTGGATGACCAGAATCCAGATACGCAGGTAGCAGTAGCTGACAATGCCAATGGGCAAGATGAAGTGCACCACCACCACGGCGATGGTGTACAGTGAACTGACGGACTGGGCGAAGGTGCAGGAGTAAACCCGCGGGTCGTACTGCAGCGACTCCACAAACCAGTTGGGGACGATGGCGAGGATGGTGAGCGCCCAGACGAGCACGACGTAGCACATGGTGTTGCTGTTGGAGAAGAGCTTGTCATACTTGAGGCTGTGGCAGATGTAACAGTAGCGGTTGATGGCGATGCCCGTGATGTTAAAGATGGAGCCAATTACGCTGAGGCCCATGAGGAAACCACTGATCTGACAGTGGATGTAGCCGGCGATCCAACCGTCGTTGAAAATGGCAGTGAGCACCAGCGGGTAGGGATAGATAGCAACCACCAAGTCAGCGAAGGCCAGGCTCACAACAAAGGCGTTTCCTGTAGAGCAAGAGGAGGATGACAAGCTGTCAGTATAAATGTGAGTTAGTCCAAAAATCTTTCAGGCAGGTCGTCAGCTAGATAAGTCAGATCGACGCATTCTCACTGCCAACTCATCACATGCTGATACCTGTAGGACTCGTCATCATATTTTACCGTTCATCACACTTGTGGACACACCTTAGTGTTACTTTTCAGACGCGGTGGCAGACACACACGTGGAATCACACAAGCATTTGAGTTTGGTCTGGGCATTACATTAGTAAGAAGTACTTAGACTGAGTTTGGGCTATACTAAGAGATTTACTACAAAGATTGAAACACGGGATACTGCACTGCAGTGGTTTGAATCATATCGTAGGACTGCTTTCTTCCATTTTCGCAGTATCTCTAAAATTAGAAATATCCTGTCTAAGAGTGACGCTGACAAACTAGTTAATGCATTTATTAATTCTAGGCTGGACTACTGTAATTCATTATTATCAGGATGTCCTAAGAACTCCCTGAAAAGCCTTGAGTTAATACAAAATGCTGCAGCAAGAGTACCGGCAGGGACTAGAAAGAATATTTATCCTATATTGGCTTCCCTTCATTGGCTCCCTGTTAAATCCAGAATTTAAAATCCTGCTCCTCACATACAAGGTCTTATATAATTAGGCCCCATCTTATCTTAATGACCTTATAGTACCATATCACCCCATTAGAGCACTTCGCTCTCAGACTGCAAGTAGTCGTTGGAGTTTTCTTTGTATTAAAGTAAAACAAAGTTCATCCATCTACCACAAACTTCTCCAACATTTCCTTTGTTGCCCCTCCCCCTGTGACAGTGATGATCCAGTGGTGTCTTTTCGACATGTTGTAGGGTTTCAGACCACTCTACTTTCTAGGCTGTGAAATAACTCCACTGTGTAAAAGACACGGGGGAATATCAGTTATGTACAAAATGTCCAATGGCAGTGGTGCACTACCTTATAGTACTAGTGCGACACTTGTCATTATTCATTTTCAAAGTTGTTTTAGGGGACAAACCAGAAGCTGAGTAGTTTCATCATAAGGCTCTCCAAACCTCATCACTGCTGCTTTAATGGCTCCACCATCATTCAGGCAAATTAATACTGCTGTCCCGAGCTGCTCTTGCGCACTTCCATATAGAACTTGTCAAAAGAAATCTCCTAATAATGGGCTGTTGCTTCCAGCAGAGGCATAAACATCAGTTTTGAGCCACAGTTGCAACTGATAAATTTTATTCCAATTTATCAGCTCCTTGCTCGGCCGACTTCTCTGACAATAAGAAAGCTGGGGCTCGCTGATGTGCTGTAAAGGTCTTTCTCCCACACGAGGAAATGAAGTTTGAGGGCTTGATTTAAGAGTTTAACATTTACCTGCCGCCCCGAGTGAATCGTGCTGCATTTCAATTATATTTTCCCACGGCTGAAGCCATTGTACCAAGCTCCCTGCATTAAACTGTCCTGCCTCTGAGCAGCATTATTATTACTGCCAAGTTTCCTATCTCACATACAGACTGTTTACCCCCAAATGTAATGAAGCAGGGTTAGTCTGCACATCAGCCGCCTTCTACTCTCCAAAGTTTTTCCTAAAGCCGTCCACCCAAAACCAGCTGCTGGTTGGGAGTAATTTAATACTTTTCCACATCCCGTCCCGGCTCATATGACCAAAAACAAACACACGGAAGTGCTACCTGTAGCTTCACTCACACAAGCAGCAATTTAGCTGAAGAAAATGCTGCCCAGTGCTATTTCTGTTCTGTTATTTATTCTGTTTATCGACGCTGATGAAGCGGTGGTTTGTTCAGTTTCGCAGAGTATCTGAAATGAGCTGTTTAAGCGCCTCCCTCCTTTAAGCGTACTTTTCTTCTGATTGGCTGCCCCATGCAAAGAGAAAGGTTGAACAGCGAGTGGGTTCGAGGTTACCGTCGTGCATCAAAGTTAAGCTAAAGAGATTTTCTGTTCCGGTTCAAATGTCATGCCAAGCTTTCTTTAAATGGAAGTTCAGTTTGGTTATTTACAGTGAACGGTTTGACAAAGAAAGACGACTGGGTTTTCTGATTGATAGTGGAAGCAGAAACTCCAAGCCGTGTCATCCTCAACCTCCCAGTTACAAAAGATGACTTGCAGGCTCGAAGCTTATATCGCAGAGCGTGCAGTGAGAGCGGGGCTGTCGATGGAGGTGGCTTTAATGACACCGTCTCCTCGCGTCATTCAGTATTTATCACCATCCTCATTACAGCGACGCTCTGTATTCTGGAAGGCGACTCTGTGTCTGTTGCAGGTCACAGAGGGAAAGTTAGCAAAGATCTGCAGCTGCAAGAACAGACACGGCCTCATTAATTGCCACTCAATAAGTATTAGTGTCACGGTACTGGGCCATGTGACCCAGTGTTTGAGATCTAAAGCTAAGATGGTGCCGGTGTACGTCGCTTGCCGTCCTCGGCTATATCTGCTTCGCTGCTTTTTATCCTCTCTACGCTCTTTATGGACCTTGGCATTGTATTTTTTTATCCTTTTAGTTGTATGCTCATCTAATGGCTGTGCACTGATTACATACGACAGGCAAACACTTTTAAATCTAAGACTCTCTCATTCCTCTCGGCCTGATCCTTGCTGGAACCTGGGTGACGCCACCGCGCCCCGACCGGACCCTCCGACCGGACCCTCCGACCGGACCCTCCGACCGGACCCTCCGACCGGACCCCATGACCGGACCCTCCGACCGGCTTCCTCCACCTACCTATTCCGAATCTACACAAGAAACGCTATAGGAAACACAGTAGAAGGAGCTGGCATGTGGGTAGCCTGGATATTTTGTCTTCTTTCCCTCCTTCCCAGGAGCCGCCTGATGCTAAGTTGCTCACCCACCGTTGGATCTGCTCGGCCGACCACGAAGGCTACCCTGCCATTCCTGTGGCATGTTTTCCTGCTTGGGTTTGGATAACATCGCTCCAATGCAGCGTTTGCCGAAGCAACCTAAGTGTCCTACGACGCACCACCCTAGGCGACTTAGCCCCTAGGATACGGATGGCATTGCTTAATGTCAGGTCGCAGGTCAATAAGACCTTTCTCTTAAATGACTTCCTCTCCACTAATGGGATTGATGCTTTATTCCTGACTGAAACCTGGATTCATCCTGGTGAGTTCATCCCTTTTACCAAACTTCTTCCATCGGACTGTGTCGCTTTTAGCTCACCAAGGCTTACTGGTAGGGGTGGCGGCATAGCCTCGGTCTTTAAAAATTCTTATGGTTTCATAAAAGGTAGGCACTCATCAACAAATACACATAGATTACTTAATTTGATAGACTACTCATACAGTAAAAACCTAGAAACTACAATATTCTCTTTAGACGCAGAAAAAGCATTTGACAGAGTTAACTGGAAATTTTTATTTGCAAATTTACACAAATTTGGTTTTGGATCCTCTTTCATAAACTGGTTAAAAATATTATATAATTCCCCAACAGCTTGTGTCAGAACAAATGACCAGACATCCTCCAGCTTCTGTCTCTTGAGGGGAACCAGGCAGGGATGCCCACTCTCCCCTTCACTGTTTGCAATTTTTATTGAACCACTATCAGCAGCAATTAGACAGAATTCAGTAATTAAGGGCATAAAATGCAAGAATGTGGAACATAAAATCAGCCTTTATGCAGATGATGTGTTACTTTTTCTCCAAAACTCACAAACCAATATCTCTGGGGTGATTGAATTGATAAACTCTTTTGCAAGAGTAGGACTCCTACCGATTAAGTGCTCCCTCCATAATTCCTCTTCTACACCACTGCAATCGGGAAATATAAAATATTTAGGAATTAATGTTTCTCCCAAGCTTGCAGATCTAACTAAATTAAACCATATCCCACTTTTAAAGAAGGTAGAAG